GGCGGGGGGTGGGGGGTGGGGGGCAGAGCTACCAAAGATATCAAGAAATATCACAAGGAAGAGGAGATGCGATGAGATGTATTTGACAACCTTGTATTCATAATTTCTGTCTGGATATTTGTATCGCGTGACCTCATTCTCCACGTGACCATCCATACATACATACATACACTATATTATCGATACGGAGGAGAAAATAATTAAAAACCTTACAATGTGGTTAGGTTGTACATATTTAGGTACATTGTGTAAAGTTGGCGGGTGGGGGGTGGGGGGTGGGGCTGGGGCGGAGGAGGTGAACAATGTTGGTAAAAACATGACGTCATAAATGAATGACTCCTAACTATATGATAGTTTTCAGTATAATTTTCCTAAAATTGTAATAAATCATAATCGCATTGCACTCAAGTATATTTATATTTGTAAATTATTGTATTCATATTATATACCTACTCGTACATTAATAACTGAATAATATATATTAAACACACAATATATGTACGTACTACATAGCTAGATATAGTTCACTTCAAATATCCAAGGAATGTACAATATTAGTTTTTGGCCGATTAAAAAGATCAATTACAAGCTTATGTTTTCTTCTTTACTATTATATGTTCTACAAGCGTAATGTGTCGTACATTGAGTCGGGAGTGAATCCATATCCATGCACCTAGAGATACTTTCTGACAAACATCTATACATCTATCTAAACATTTGCATTTATAACCAGCGGACTATTATATTAATTGGGGCTCCCATTTACGAGAACCATATTTATGACACACATTTTTTTCGTATATTTTTTATCAATCTGCTGGTTGTGCAGTTGAAACACATATCCTTCTTGATTACTTTGAAAGGTCACTGACCTACCTTACTTGACCCTGTTTTAAATTATGTTTTACGGCCGCCACAGTATATGAACTCCAGTTAAATAACGTTCCATGACAAAAAATTATATTTAGAATATAAAAAATAAAAATGAGTGAACTGAACATGTTATAAGAAACGAGGAGATGTAACGAGCTGGTGTGTTGTTGCTGTTGCCCATGGTACATGGTCGCGGTGCAATCTGATCGCTCCACAATACGGGAATATGCATCTCATTTTATAATGTGTTATAATTTAATATAGACATTTAATTATGAAAAATTGTCGCTACTTTGTGCAAGTGCTAGTGCAAGTGCAAGTCTAACGACTAGTAGTTGTGTTACCAATGTCCGGTAAATATACTTGGGTTTATCTGTGACTTATAAATAATCATTCATTGCCAATGATTTCTACTGAAAATAATGACATTTATATAGAATATCACGGAGGCATTGCGACTGTGACGTCACAACGATGCCCCACCAACATGGCCGCCTTTAAGCGACACCAAAATTATTGACGTTTTAACTATTTCTTTTTCTGTTTACGTTATAACTAGTAGAAAGGTTTAAATAAATGGATGCATATGTCCGTATTGTTGACACTGGTCAGATGTCGGTGCGGCTATGATAGATGTATTGGTAGGTGGTAACCCGCACCGCGCGGGACACACAACACAAACGTTGCCATGTATGTCATATTTGCTATTTTATATAAGTAATACATAAGTTTACACCGTAATTATATGATGAAATGATGAAACGCCACACGGCACGGCGAGTATCATGAATGCAATGCAATGCAATGCATTACATTAGTCAGTGTGATGTGATGATGTTGCGCAGTGGCGTACAGTGGAGTGTGGAGTCATCCGTCACATGTTTTGATATTGATTGTATCGAGATGATAAGGTGCTGCTTTTCATGTGGTGTTTGTACACCGTGTACCTATCTATAAGGATATATAAATTCCTATATGTATTATCTACTTAAATTAATATATAATACATATGCAAGCGGACTTATATATATATATATATATAAATCAATTCAATTATCTCTTATAATGTTGAGTTATGACTGACATCTCTTTTCATATACATTATTGTGAACATCTCTCGTTCCATATCTTTCAAGTTTTGTATTTCTTATAAAACTAACAATGCGCACAAAAGCAATACATACATATCATGTTTTTTGTCTTTTTTTTTTATACAATATTTAAATAATGACTAAATCTATATTGAAGTTTTCAACAAATACATCTGAATACATAAATTCAAATACATTTGTAGTAAAGCTGCTTAAGATCTATTCTAAAACACAACATTTATTTTTTTTGTATTTTTCGTATTTTTTCACTTTTTTTGTTCTTTAGTTTTTTTTTAGCACAACATTTAAACACTTTTTGCCAGTATTTTAACTGCTATGAACCACTGCTACTATTAATGCAGTTCACTTATATAACTAATGACTAAAATGACACTATTAGTTTATTAGGGTGAATCGGAGCGGTGTAACATCATGTATTTGCTGTAAGCGCGGCCCAAGGTGCGGAACTCCCAAGTGCCACTGCTGTAGTGCTTCCTGCACAACACAATAACAACACATTAGTATCTACACATACTTCGCTCTCATATACATATACATATGTACATACATAGCGTCGCTACAAGCTCACCTCGCAACATTTAGTATGTGGTGGGCGATCTCTACCATGCCGATGTCGTAATGGCATATAGCAGACTCGAGCAAGGCGTACCCGATCAAATACTTGTCCATGCGTCGCTTCGTTTTAAGACTGAAACAATTACAATAAACGTAATTACTTAATCGTGTACACATGCTTTCTCTTTTGCACATTAAAGAAAAAGTGTACGTCTTTTTGGTTGACACTCGTTTGTCTCTCTCGTGAACTAATCACATCCCCTTGGCATATATCCCCTCCACCCCCTCCACCCCCTCACAAAACATTACTATTTTAATTGTTTCTTTGCCTTTTCGTAATGCGAATCGAGTCACGTTTTACAGGCAAGTGGTACATATAAGTATGACACGTACTGGCTGCAGCAGAAGCCGGCAACATGTACTAACATTTCACTATTATATAGTTTGCTTTATAAAAAAGAGATAAGCAATGAGAGCACTTCACCTGGCGACCTTCTTGAAGCATCTGATGGCGTGGTGAGGCAACAGCAGCGAGGCGTAGCAGTGCCCCTTCAGCAAGCACAGTGCTGCCAGCGCGTTCTCCTCGTGTCTGCGACGACTTTTCTTCTTCTCCTTTTCGACTTTCTCCATTTCCTCCTTTAGCAGCTGTAACCAGATCATGTTCACTAAGTTTAAATGCCACCATATGCCACTTTATAATTGTTATTTTTAATATTTCTTTTTCTTCTACTACTAGAATAACAAATGTATTTAAAGTATTAAGATAGATTAATAATGATCAATAAAGTGATGGTCCTCTCTGAATGTAGATCAAGTTACATATGTAGCTTTAGCTAGACTTAGTATGCTTTGCCCCACCGCCACCCACACACCCTCGGGTAGTGACACCGAGTGTAGCAGCAACTAAGGTAACATCTGCAAGTACCTTAAGCAGGAACTGGAGAGATTCTTTATCCTCGGAGATGGAGCAGGCCACGAGCCACAAACTGAGCAGCTCGATCTTGGTGAGCAGCAGCTGGCACTTGGGGACCTCGTAGTAGGGCACGTTGCGGATGTAGGTCGAGGGCTCCATGGCGCGGGACCTGGGCCTCAACATCCGGGCGAGGAACTCCTGCGCGGACCTGAAATAACATGGGATACGTATGTAGCTTGTTATAGTTCTTTAATAAATAACTTTGTATAAAGCGGATTGCAACAATTATAACATCGTCCTCTAGATCATATTTTTCCATCGTTATAACGATGTTTAAATCTTTTCATTTTCGATAAATACATATTTATGAAAAATTCCGTGACTCCGTGAGAGAGAGAGAGAGAGAGATACTGACGCGTTGGCCCAAATGATCTCCCAGTAGCAGTAGCGAGGCAAGTCGGCCAAGGCCTGGGGCTGGTCGCGCACGTTGCGGTACATGCCCGCGACCATGACAGCGCGCTCCCGGATCTCCCGCAACCGCCCCCACGTCAGCACGATGCCGCTGTCTATGGGAGAGCCCTGGAGAAAACAGAACATATACATAAACGTAGCAAACCATTGTCGCTGGGAGAAGACAATTTTTTTTATCATTCGACGTATTATATTATACATAAATGAATTTATCTTAAAATGTCTTTATTTCCAGGTATGTCATTTATTTTTGTATATAAGAATAATGAGAAAGCCTTACGTTGCGTTCCTTAAGGATCAAAGTGTCGATGAAAGCTTGCAGACGTAGCGGGATAAGTTCGGTAAGGTTTTCGAAGACGATTAAGCTCATCGTCATCCTGTTAATGTAACGTTGACGACACGCAGAGTTCGTCCAAGTTTTCCGACGCAATATTTTAAAACACTTCCTGAAGAAATTAAACAAATTTATCATAATCAAATAATTTGTCAATTCCTTGATATTTGTAAAACTCAGCAACATGAGAAAGCAGAGTGCGCGACACTCGTGCCAGCACTGGCTATTGTACTTAAGATGATACTTACTTAAATGGTTCATAGCAGTTGTTGACTTTTATAGCGGCATGTAAGAAGCCGGCAAAATCTTTGACTGAGCGCAGGTACCGGGCGGCCTGCGTGAGCTCGCATTATGCGGTGCGTAGCTCGCGTCCCGCCGCCTCGTCGGACATGCGCGCAAGGTCGCGATTCTGTGGATGCATGCCCACGCTTACTGCCTGCCCTACTTCTCTTCATCATTGGTAACACGTTTTCTCTATATATTTTAGTTCAGTACTAAGCTAAACTTTAGCTAAGGAATTTATGAGAAAACCAGATATAGATACCTTTAAAACATCTCAGACAAATTAGAAAACCTACTAACACTAGGACTACTACTCTAAATAAACGGTTAGTTAATTCTAAAGATAGATATTTGAATATATTTTGCGTCAGTGAAGGAGTCATCAGTCAGGTATGCGACTTGTAATTATGTGAGCTGGTAAGAAGAGGTCTTTTGATACCAGTGACAGGGGATTCGAGCAGCGACAGGGGCTGGCATGGCACACGTACCTCGCACAGGTATCGAAATAAATCTTTAGCTTGCTGGACGAAGAGCGCGTTGTCCGTGTAGATATCGACGGTACGCTTGAGCGCGTACAAGAAGAGCCTGTTGTCTTCCTCGCGCAGACGCAGCACCGGCGTTATCGCCGGTGACGGTGACGTATTGATACCCAATCGGTGGTAGTGCTGAGTTTCTCGCCTGTCATATTAGCATACTCTTAATGGTTTCTCATATTTACAAATCCCAAAATCGTGTCGAACAACCGAGAAAGTGCCAGGCCTGAAGTTGAACGACTCTGCACTAAAGTGTAAATAATAAATGTCATTGTTTAGTTCTTTATATTATTTGAACAATTCCTTAGGTCTAGAAGAACGCGTTAAACTGGAAGTACTATTGTTAGATAATAAATATTAAGAATCTTACCAGACTTTAGTTGCTGTCACGGCGCCATAGATGTCGTGCCTGAAAAACTTTTTGAGAGAATCCCTGCACTTCATCAATTTATCTTTTGCAGTCATCTTGCGGCTAAAACAAAAGATCGTATTAAAGAGTTGGTAGACTGTTTAACGATCACTATGCATTCAAAGTTTTTTTTTGGAAAAAAGGCAAAGGCATTGAAAGTGAATTAAAATATTGACATGTACCTATGTGTAAAAGTTAATCAGAGTTAAAAGTGTATAAAAATACTTGTATGTATGTGTGACAGTTAATCAAAGTTAAAAGTGTATAAAAA